AAAACATACTGTAATATACAGACCATGCTGAATGAAAATACACCATAATATACACCATGGTCTGTATATCACGGCACTTTTTATTCAGCATGCTAAAACCTACGAAGGGATCTATAATCCCTTCTAGGTCACAGTGATCATAGATTTGGGTCACTCACCACTAGAGGGCACTCAGATTTTCCCAGTTAGTTCACAGAGGCTTCCAATTAACAGTGTACAAAACGAATTTTATCAACACGGCGACATTTCCTATCAGTAATGACAAGTAAACAGCCATTTCCCCAGAAATATTAAGTGGATGCAAACATACTGGTTCTGGGCATTTATATAAGTGTATCTATAAGTTTATAAATTAGGCTGGGCACGGTGGCTCACACCTGTAATCCTAGCACTTTGGGAGGCTGAGGTGGGTGGATCACCCGAGGAAATCTAGGTTGCCATTATAGCAGTTTGCTTGTTTTCAACCTTTTAAGGCCTAAGGGAGCTTTCCTGGCAGAGTGGATATAAGCACTGCTGGCTGCTCCAGGAGGTGCCTGGCTACATGCTACCACACAGTGATGCAGAATGCCTGCACCCTCCCCAGATGGAGCAGGATGAGCCACAATCACGCCACTGCACTCCAGTCTGGGTGACAGAGCGAGACTCTGTCTCCAACAAACAAACAAACAAACAAAATATATAAATTAGACACCTACACACACACACACACACACACACACACACACACTCTGTCTTAAAAAAACCTTTTTTTGGCTGGGTGAGGTGGCTCACACCTGTAATCCCAGGACTTGGGGAGGCCGAGGCAGGTGGATTACCTGAGGTTGGGAGTTTGAGACCAGTCTGACCAACATGGAGAAATCCTGTCTCTACTAAAAATACAAAATTAGCCAGGCATGGTGGCGCATGCCTGTAATCCCAGCTACTCGGGAGGCTGAGGCAGGATAATGGCTTGAACCTGGGAGGCAGAGGTTGCGGCGAGCCGAGATCACACCACTATATTCCAGCCTGGGCGACAAAAGCGAGACTTCGTCTCAAAAAAAATTTGCCATATATATATGGTCGGGCACAGTGGCTCATATATATATTATATATATATTATATATATATTTCATATATATATGATATATGATATCATATGATAATCCCAGCACTTTGGGAGGCCGAGGTGGGTGGATCACCTAGGGTCAGGAGATCAAGACCAGCATGGCCAACATGGTGAAACCCCGTGTCTACTAAAAATACAAATATCTCATTTATATATGATATATATATGAGAAATATATATATATACATATATGATACATATCAGACACTATGCCCAGAACCAGTAGTTTTGCATCCACTTAATATTTCTGGCAAAATGTGGAAAAATGGCTGTGTGTTTGTGCACATACTCACACATACACACGCATACAAATAAGTGTATGTATATACACACATAAACATATTGTTATAATTTGTATACAGTTGTTATATTCTAATATATATAAATATTTATATATAACATTTGTTATAGTTAATTTACTATTTTAGATTGAAACTTGATGTATTCTTCAAGGACTCAAGTGGTAGGTAGATTTTTGAAGTAAAAAATAAACTTGAAAGTTAGCTGGCCTCCCAAACACTGGCACAAAGCCTAAGGGCTCCTGCCAAAATCTGGGGGCCTGCAGTACTCTACGCAAATCATGCTTGTTTTGAGGGTACTTGGATATTGTGATTTCAAAGAGACAGAAGAAAACGAGAAAAGGAGAACTTTCTCTGCTATCAAGGAAATGAATACATTTGATAGCAATGATTACAAGCCAGGCAATTTCTTTAACCTTCCGGTTTATCAACACTGAAGGCCTTATCTGGTCACGTAGGGCATTTCTAGATATTTATACCTGGAACCCTGGAAATCCAGTTTCTGTAGGAGGACTAAACACTTTTTTGGCTGTGTTATTTAAATTTTGAAAATGCCTATTCCATATGCTTAAAGGAAATTAAATTAACAAATAGTAGCTATTAACTACTATGATAGCACTGTCCTGCCTGAAAAAAAATAAAAAAATCTTAAGAGTCATCTTGCCAAGTACAGTGGTTCACGCCTGTAATCCCAGCACTTTGGGAGGCCAAGGTGGGTGGATCACCTGAGGTCAGGAGTTGGAGACCAGCCTGGCCAACATGGTGAAACACCGTCTGTGTCTATTAAAAATACAAAAATTAGCTGGGCGTGGTGGTGGGCGCCTGTAATGCCTCAGGAGGCTAAGGCAGGAGAATCACTTGAACCCAAGAGGCAAAGGTTGAAGTGAGGTGGAAGTTGCAGTGGGCAGAGATTGCGCCATTGCACTCCAGCCTGGGCAAGAAGAGCGAAACTCCATCTCAAAAAGAAAAAACAAAGAATTGTCTTGTTGAAGAAGGGGGACGAGGTGGGGGAGGAGTTCTGCAGAACACCCACACCTCCGGCTGTCTTGTCATGGCTGTTGGTGATGAACACTCTGGACTGCTGAATAGTTTTCCTGCTCCGTGGCACTTACCTGATAAGGACTAGAGTGCGCTTGCCAAGTACCGTGGAAAACAGTATTGAAAAAGGATACGTCTAATTCACTCTGGAAGAGAGAAAAAGAGTGCAAGGGTGAGAACAAAGATATTGGGACCCGTTGCTCTTAGCAGAGTCAGACTGAAGAGGCTTCTGCATCCATAGCAGTGGCCTCTCCTATCTGCTTCTGGGCTTGGAGGCCACAGCAGTCTGACTCTGCCAAGGCCCTGAGTTCGGGACTGTAATTTTTTTAAAAATAGGCTGTAGTTCAAAGGAATTTTACAGGCCAGTACCATTCATCTTTAGAAAGCAGAGGGAAAAAGAAACTAACTCAGCCTTTACAGATGTAGGTAATTTGATGTGTGTATCAGAGATGGTAACAATGTGCCACACCTTTGAATCCACTAATGTTACTTCTAGGAGTTTATCCCAAGGAAAAAATTAGACAATGGCACAATGATATATGACAGGATATTCAGGGTAATGGTGCTTGTAATAGCAAATTATTGATAATAACCTAAATATCTATCAAGGAGGGGAACTAAGTAAACCGTAGCATATCCACAAATGACAATGTAGAAATATAAGTACTCACATATTGTTATAAAAAGTTACAAAATGCATACATAGTATTATCCTATGTATGCATGTATACAGATCAAGATATATATGGTTATATAGCTACAGACAGACATAGAAAGTCTAAAAGGAAATGTACCTAACAGCAGTTATCAGTAACTGATGGGCTTACTGATGATCTTCTTCTCACTTAAAAAAATCTATTTTATTTATTTATTTCGAGAAAGTCTTTATTTATTTATTTTGAGTCAGTGTGTCACCCAGGCTGGAGTGCAGTGGCATGATCTTGGTTCATTGCAACCTCCGCTTCCTGGGTTCAAGTGATCCTCCCACCTCTGCCTCCCAAGCAGCTGGGACTAGAGGTGTGCGCCACCACACCTGGCTAATTTTTGTATTTTTTTGTAGAGACGGGGTTTTGCCATGTTGCCCAGACTGGCCTTGAACTCCTGAGCTCAAGCGATCCACCTGCCTCAGTCTCCCAAAGTGCTGGGATTATAGGTGTGAGCCATCACGCCTGGCCAAAAAATACATTACTTTTTAAAGAGCAAGTTTTAGGTTCAGAGCAAAACTGAGGGGGAGGTACACAGACATCTCATCCCCTGTGTCCCTCCGAATGTGCAGCCTCCTCCTATGATCAGCATTCCCCACCACAGTGGTACATTTGTTAAAACTGACAAACCTACACCATTCTCACCCAAAGTCCACAGTTTACATTAGGGTTCACTCTGGTGGTGTACGTTCTACGGGTTTAGACAAATGTATAATTACATGTATTCGCTTTCCTCTTTCTCTTTGCTTATATGTTTTAAAATTTTTAAAATAAAATAAAATAGATATTTATATAGTGAAAAAAGTATGGAGGAAGAAAAAAGTAAAGAGAATTAAGTTCAAATATGAAAGGACTTAAGGTTTGTCAAATGCAGCACTGAAAATTCCCTGATATCACTTCTTCAACAGCAACCACCCTCACCTCTGGCAAAGTCGCGTCCTTTGAAGCTAACTGGGTTGGCTTTTTGTTTTAAAAATGTGATGCTGAGATGCTTCTCTCAGCCCCAGACAGCATGAGACTGATCTCCAAATTTAAGATTTGGAAATTCTCGAAGATTAAAAATAGCCACAGAAAGAATGTTTAAAATTCACAAACCTAAAAATAAATCTTACATGACAAGGCTGTCTCTGTGAGGGGGACAGATCCCGTTTTCTTTCCCATAGTGCTCTTTTCCCTCTTCCTCTTCTTCTTTTTGCTATGGTTTGATCCTAAGCCAAGTCGTCCCTTAGTATCTACCGTCCAAGTCCTGCAGAATCACCTAACTGAAATTAAATTCTAATCTTTACTTTTGTGGTTTATGTGGTCACTGACTCTCCCTAAAATTATACCTATAATTCAGTAATATGCTATTTATTCTTAGTTACTGAATATAATAATAATAATTTTAAAAACCTTAGCAATGATTGTACTTGTACCCACTTTTTATTCTCCTAGGCTTAGAACATTATTATTTTGGGAAATTATATTCTTCTTGGTGGGTGTCACCTTGAAATGGCTAATCATAGTCAGCTCTGATCATAGACCCTGACTTGCAACTAGTCCATCTAAACAAGAAAGTGGTCATCACAAGGTAAAGAGAAGCTAGAGCTATGCTGTCCAATATGGTAAACACCAGCCTCATGTGGAGATTTAAATTAAGTAAAATTAAAACTTCATTTCCTCAGTTATACTAACTGCATTGCAAGTGCTCAAGAGCCACATCTGGCTAATGCCTACTGTATTGGATGGCACAGGTACAGAACATTCCTATCTCTGCAGAAAGTTTTACTGAACAGTGCTGGTCTATGTCTTGCCAAGCAATCAACACAGAGATAGATTTTAAAGCCAGTCTCCATGTCCTCTGTCCTCTAAGGCCAGTCTCTGGAATGACCACCTCTTGGTTTCTTTCGGCTTTGGAAGGCACCAGCCCCTTCCTGGCCAGAGGCATCACCACATCACAGACCACTAGGCATGTTCCCAACACCAACTCTTGAATCAAGAAAAGGCTGACAGCGGCCAGGCGTGGTGGCTTATGCCTGTAATCCCAGCACTTTAGGAGGCCGAGGCAGGCGGATCAAGAGGTAAGGAAATCAAGACCATCCTGGCCAACATGGTGAAACCCTGACTCTACTAAAAGTACAAAAATTAGCTGGGTGTGGTGGCACGTGCCTGTAATCCCAGCTACTCGGGAGGCTGAGGCGGGAGAATTGCTTGAACCAGGCAGTCGGAGGTTGCAGTGAGCCAAGATTGACAGAGCGAGACTCCATCTCAAAAAAAAAAGAAAAGAAAAAAACCAAAAACGCTGACAGCAAGCCTCATGCACTAAGGCAGTGATTACCAAAATTAAGCATATGTCGGAATCACCTGGAAGCCTTCTTAAACCAGATTTCTGGGCCTCAACCTAGAGCTTCAGATGCAATGGTCTGGGGTAGGGCCCAGAATTTGAATTTCTAACAAGTTCTCAACTTATGCTAATGGTCCAGGAATCAGACTTTGAGAACGGTTGCACTAAGACGATGAAGACAGGCTAGCTGACTGTCCCATGAAGAAGGAGTTTGCCAAACCTCACTTCTGGCATTAGGAGGTGGGCTGAAGACATAACTTCCTAATCTGCGTTTTGCCCTTTCCGAGTTTTAGTGCACACAGTATTACTAATTAGGGAGCACATTCTGCTCACTGCCTCAGGAAGAAGCTTGGAAACAATTCCTTAATTGTTTTTATTAAATTGTTTTTATTGAAATTAAATGAAACAACTTTAAAAAATAAGCTTGCGCTAGCCGGGTGTGGTGGCTCATGCCTGTAATCCCAGCACTTTGGGAGGCTGAGGTGGGTGGATCACCCGAGGTTGGCAGTTCGAGACCAGCCTGACCAACATGGAAAAAGAAGAAACCTTGTCTCTACTAATAATACAAAAATTAGCCAGGTGTGGTGGCACATGCCTGTAATCCCAGCTACTTGGGAGGCTGAGGCATGAGAATTGCTTGAACTTGGGAAGCGGAGGTTGTGGTGAGCCGAGATCACGCTATTGCACTCCAACCTGGGCAACAAGAGCAAAACTCTGTCTCAAAAAAAAAAAAAAAAAAAAAAAGCTTGTACCACTGCTACTTCTCAAGAATATCTAACTAAAGCTCAGGAAGGCCTACGGCAGCAAAGTAAAACATCTTTGCTGATTCTTTTTTAAAAGACTGGTGAGTTTCAAACTTACTCTAAAGCTACAGAAATCAAGAGTGTGCTACTGATGTAAGCTAGACATAGAGATCAATGGAACAAAAGTGAGAGGCCAGAAATAAACACTTACTTTTATGGCCAATTGATTTACTGATAAGGGTGCCAAGACAATTCATTGGGGGAAAAAAACAGTCTTTTGAACAAATGATGTTGGAATAATTGAATCTTTACAAATGAATGGGAGAAAATATTTTCAAATCATGTATCTGATAAGGGACTTGTATTCAGAATATATAAAGAACTCCTGCAACTCAACAATAAGATAACAAATAATGCAATTTAAAAATGGGCAAAGGATTTGAGCAGACATTTCTGCCAAGAAGATAGACAAATGGCTAATACACATATAAAAAGATGCTCAACATCCTTATCCATTAGTGAAACACAAATGACACCTACAATTCACCGGCGTCTGTACCACTTTACATCTACCGGGATGGCTATCATATAAAAGACAGATAATAACAAGTTTTGGTGAGGATGTGGAGAAATTGAAACCCTCATGTACTCCTGATGGGACTTTGAATCACACCAACACTTTGGAAAACAGTTTGGCAGTTCATCAAAATGCTAAACATGGGGTTACCACATCGCACTCCTAGGTAGTGCAAGAGAACCGAAAGCATGGTTCTATGCAAAAATGTGTCCATGAATGTTCATATAAGCATTATTTACAATAGCCAAAAACTGGAAATAACTCAAATGTCTACCAACTGATGAATGGATAAAAAAAATTTGGTATATCTATCCATACAATGGAATATCATCTGGCAAGAAAAGGAAAGAAGTATTGATATATGCTACAACATGGATGGCTCTTGAAAACACTACACTCAATGCAAGAGGCCAGTCACACCAAAATCACATGTTGTACAATTATATTTATATGAAATATCTAGAACAGACAAATCTATAGAGACAGAAAGTAGATTAGGTATATATCCAAAAGAAAGGAAATCAATGCATTGAAGAGATGTCTGCAGTCCAATGTTTATTGTAGCACTGTTCACAATAGCCAAAATATGGAATCAACCAAAGCACCCACCAATGAATGAATGGATAAAGAAAATATGGTATATATACATAACGGAATACTATTCAGCCATAAAAAAGAATAAAACCCTATCATTTGCAGAAACACGTATGGAACTGAAGGTCATTATGTTAAGTGAAATAAGCCAGGCACAGAAAGACAAATATCACATGTTCTCATTCATGTGGGAAGTAAAAAAGTACATATCATGAAGATAGACAGTAAATTGGTGGTTACCAAAAGCTGGGAAAGGAAGAGGAAAGAGGAAATGAAGAGAGGTAGATTAATGGGTGCAAATACGCAATTAGATAGAAGAAATAAGACCTAGTGTTTGATAAATCAGTAGGGTGACTATGGTTAACAATAATCTATTGTATATTTCAAAAGAGCTAAGAGAATAATTCGAATGTTCCTAACATAAAGAAAATATAAATATTTAAGGTGATGGAGATCCTAATTACCCTGATTTGGTTTTTATACATTATATGAATGAATCAAATTATCACAAGTATCATGAAAATATCTACATCTCTTATGTATCAATATAAAAAATAAAAATAAAAAACTTACCAAGAAAAAAGATAGATCACTAGTCACCTGGTGTGGTTGGAGGGGGATAATGAGGGGAAATGCTAATGGGTATGTTTCCTTGTCAAGTGATGAAATTTCCTAAAATCCTCCCACCTCATCCTCCTGAGTATCTGTCCCTACAGGTGCTTGCCACCACACCCAGCTTAATTATATACTTTTATTTATGTATTTATTTTGAGACGGAGTCTCCCTCCCGGGTTTATACACTTTAAATGGGTGAACTGTATTATACATAAAATATATTTCAATATAGCTATTAAAATGGCTTCAAAAAGATTTTTGGAAAGGAGCTCACATATTCCTTAAGGAGAACTGACTTTTGACCCTCAAAACAAGGGTTTGGATGGGAATGATTCTTGAAGTGAAAAGTATCCTGGTGTCTTAGGAAAGAAGGCAGCGGGGGCCAGGCGCGGTGGCTCACGCCTATAATTCTTAGCACTTTGGGAGGCGGCAGGCGGGCGGACTCACTCGAGGTCGGGAGTTTGAGACCCACCTGACCAACACGGAGAAACCCCAGCTCTACTAAAAATACAAAATTAGCTGGACGTGGTGGCACACGCCTATAATCCCAGCTACTCGGGAGGCGAGGCGCGGAAAGAATCACTTGACACCAGGATGTGGAGGTTGCGGTGAAGCCGAGATCGCGCCACCTGCACTCACCAGCCTGGGGCAACAAGAGGCGAAATAAAAGGTAGTTAGGTATTTCTGCTTTTCGATTGTGTGTGTCACAATTAAAGCAATTGCTGCAATCTTCCAACCCCAGACTTTGCTTAAGGAGGAAGAATCTCCTTCTGATGTGTGAGGAGGAGGATGTTCCGAACCAATCCCAGGATCAAGGTGGAGACCACTGCATCAAGAACTCGTGCTAGTCAATTACAGGCAAGACTCCTTTGCACCTCAGAGAACTATCCTAGAGTTATGCGGACTGCGTATGGCCATAAGTGTGGTATGAGAAGTAACGCCCAAGACCAAGCGTTGGATTCCTTTCTTGACACCACACATTTGAGACCCAATGAATGAAAACACCTCTTCAGTCAATTGCTCTGGTTGTGGGAAGAGGGTGTCCCTCCTATTAGCATATAGCAATGGATGCCTAGCAATTCAGGATGCTGAGTTTGCCTGGGAGCAGTCACGGAAGCATGGACAGGAGCAGGAAGAGTCACCCCGTCCCTTTGAATAAATGGGCTCTGATGACCCTGGAGGAATGGAACTCTTAAGGGGAAAAAAATGGAGCAATCAGAACTGGGCCCCAGATATCACGCAGTGAGAGAGATGATGAGCCAGGTAAAGGTCTAATATACGCACTCCGAGGGACAACCTCTCTCCATTCCTGTAAAAAAGATGGTACAGGCTCCTTTGACTCTCAGCTTATTAAGATTAGGCTACTATCTGACAGGCTATTCAGCCAGGTGAGATTGCTGTGGAAATCTGAGTCTGTGAAAAAACAGTCTACTGGAAACTAAGGATGCTGAGAGAAGAAGCTGTCCCCTCTGGTCATGCACGCACTCAGCCTTCATTCATGCTGCCACCATAAGACCGGGTCATATAGACTCGCAGCATGACTCCTTATGTTAGGAGCTTGTTCTGGCGTCACCGGTACTGCGTGAGAAAAGGAGCCATGAACCTGGAAGAGCAGAAGACCCTGAGGAGAAGAGAACAGGAGAGATGTTCTGGTTAACTATTCCCAATCAAGGAGCGGCCCACTGCCCCAATTCCATACTTAATGCATGTGAAGCCTGGCTATCACCTGATATATCTACGAAATATGACCCCTGGGGACAGCAGTTTTGAGGCACACGCATAGCAAAAAAACCATGTGCTCGTTAGGCCTCGCAAGAAGAAAAGTTTAAGTGAAGTTGGTAGAGACTTTTGCAGGTTACTGTGAATAATACACTAGGGAGAGAAGAGAATAAACATTCTCTCTGCACTCTCTTGAAGACTATACGAATCTTCCAGACGCTTGGTTCCAGTAATTACACTCAACCCAGACCATCTTAAGAGCGAAAAATAATAATGTATTTAGCTCATAGAACTGAAAGACACAGGAATAAGTGCCTGTTTCAGGCAAAAATTAGATCCAAGCCTCCAACAATGTTTTCTGGAATTGTTGCTCAATTCTGCTTTCCTCTTGATGTGACTTTGGATGTGTGCACTGCGCCCAAATCTCATGTTGAATTATAATCCCCAATGCTCTAGCAGTAGGCCTGGTGGGAAGTGATTTAAATCAATGGCGACAAATTTCTCATCTGAATTGTTGGCACAGTCCCCTTGGTGCTGTCCTCAAAAATAGTGAGCAGTTCTCCACAGATCTGGAGCTCATCTTAAAAGTGTGTGAAACTGAGACAGCCAAGGCGGTCCCCAGAGAAACTCCAAATGGCCCTGCGCACTAGGCAGGGGGTGCACCACTGGGGTGGAGCCTCAGGAATTCGTGCTGTTTGCAGCCCAAGAAGGAGCTGGCCGTCCTCTTCCTGGTGGAGACGTGGGGTTCAGTCTGCGAGGAAGAAGCACACCTT